AGAAAAAAAATGGGGAAACAACTAAAACTAAACAAAAACTGTTAATGCCAAAAAAGTGGTGAAAATCAAGTGAAGTTAAAACTAAAATAAAAGCAGTTTTTGTCTCATTTATACGTACGCTACCTACTACCACAAAACCAGTTAATCTTAAGAAACACCCAATATTTCAATTACTAAAGTTCACCAATTGACATTGAAAGCTCGATCCTAATCCCTTCAAATTAACACATATATATCACTTTTACACTGCTTAGTAGTTGAACATGGCTTTTTTATTTCATGTTAATTTCATTAGACTTTGAAGGGCTTCAGAGATCTACCTGCTCGCTATGCTAAATAAATACATAATATTGTGTAATACGAAGCCCATTTGAAATGGCCGCGAAACAAAAGGTTATGACAATCAAATAGCCAATGCTTTTCGCTTTTCCTCTTTTCAAAATAAAAAAAAAATAAAATAAAAATAAAAACCCGACCTCAACGCCCAGCTAATGCAATTGTCTAACGTCGAACTCAAATTTCAATCAACCAATAATATGCGGAGAGCTCAACAAACATGTTTCCAAGCGGATGACGTTTCGAGATTTTTTTGTTAGCCCCAAACTTTTTGTGCATCAGCAACATCATTAGCTGTAACATCTAATAACAACAACAACAACGACAACAACAGCAATAAACCTAAGAGCAAAGCATTTAGTTTTCAAGGTTCGAACTGGTGTTGTTGCTGTTGGAAATGGGCGCCATGAAAATGCAAATTTTTGCCATGAGCAATGAGTTTCGACGTCTTTCAATGAGCCTAATCATTAATATGTTTACAGCTCAACAATTCAGTGAAATAAACAAAGTGAAAAAGGCATGAAAAGGCATGAAAAGGCAAAAACCGCTAACGAAAAATAAAAAGACAAAAAAACCGCTCGATTTAAGACAACTATCCAGCCAAGCAACTGACTGAGTGGCTCACTAACTGACCAACTGACTGGGATTACTCAACAGCAATAGCAACCATAGCAGCAGCAGCGGCAGCCACAGCAACAGCAGCAGCAGCCGCCATAGCAACAACAACAACAACAGTTTGTGCCGCTACCTTTGATTGCTGTTGACTTGGACTTGGGCAGGCTAACAGCCTGGCCAAAAGGTTTGCCTGTACACTTGCGCACTTTCGGTTTTCTAAAAAAAAATAAAACTTGTTCGCTGCAGCAGCAACCGATCAAATTGCATTTCGGATTCGGTTTTGGACAGCTTCAGCTTCAGCCTCTGCTGCTGCTGTTGTCGTCGCCATTGCTGCTGCTGCTGCTGCTGCTGCTGCTCTTAGTGTATCGCTGTGTGGTCATTATATAATCCAGTTAATTTCTTTAAACATTTTTTCAAGCCACTTTTTGTTGCTTTTGCGTCATTCGTTGTTCAGAGCTCGCGCTGCTCAGTTGTTCCGTTACGCGACGCGCCAGTTATCGACGGGATATATACATATATCTATACAAAAATAAAAGAGCAAAGGATACCAAGTCCTGTCGCTCAATTGTGTAAGTGTGTGTGTGTATGTGTATGAAATTTGCAATAAAAATATTTGCAATAAATTACGAAACATCAAAGAAAAAGGAAAATCACAAAATATTGAAAAAAAAATCATTTATGAAATTAGCAAACTGCAGTCGAAGTTTCAGTTTGATGTCTTCTGTTGCAGTACGACATTAGTCTGGCTGGCAGCTAAGCACACAGAGCCACGCAACCGCAGCAACCACAGCCACTTGACAAGCCCCGAGCGCCTAATAAACATGTTGCAACCCCTTGCTAGAGAGCCCAGAGAGGTGCACTGGGCATCGGGTGCCCAGTGTGGGGAGCTGTGACGGCGGCCGTTGGCAGTTGTTGAATTTCTGTGGATGCCATTGCCCAATGGCAACATTTTCGAAATCGCATTTTCAGCTGATGAAAACTCAAAAGAAAATGCAAATTTTTCTCAACTCGTCTCTTTATTGGAATGCATCTTTTAGCCAGATTTAGTTAATGATTGCATAAATCCATCGAAAAAAAACCCACGCCAAACATGAATCAATTAAATGGCACAGTATACGCATTGGACATTCGGCTAGGCGAACCAATTGATTTGCATATGTATCATGACCAAACGAAACGAATCGAAACGAAACAAACAAATAAGCTAACATAAACTTTACAAGCCAATAATTAATTCAGTTTTGAGCCGAACAGCCAAAGCTCAAAAGAACAGCGCCAATTGCGGAGGCCTAAACTTAGATACCCTAACATACTGGAGTGAGTCTCTATATATGGGAATAGATCAATGCTTTTTAGATGAGGAGTGGAGAAAGAGTGGGAGGAGCAGCGCGTGTACACTGACATGCAGACAACACTGTACAGAGTGTAGGGCATCAGAAGTATTTAAATATTTGATCAAATCTCCTGGCTATAGCTGAGTATAGAAAATGTAAAGAATAAAAATACATCCAAGATATATGGAATAAGCAGATACAACTTGCCAATAGCAGAACATGATACAAGGTAAAAGACTGAAAGGCTGAACATATGGACACAACTGTTTAGACAGTAGAGTATTCAGAAACCAAGCAAAGGGAACAGCAGTCAAAAGCTGAGGCTGTATTTTGCCATAGATTACACTGCTTAAGACAAATATATATCTTAACAGATAAATAAGCACATAACTCTGTCATGTGAACACATATGCTTGACTACATAAACTGTAGGGGAGCAGGAGTGTCGAAAAGTGAATAACTCTGCAGAGACTCAGACTGAGACTGTGGCTGTGACTGTGGCTGGGACCGTGTTTGTCTTGCTTTCCATCGGCACACACAACATATGCACAATTATCTATATGAATTTACATGAATCTGCAAGTATACAAAACGTTATAAGCAGGAAAACATCTTATGCAATGGCTGAAATAAAGCAAAGCTCAAAACTGATGCCAAAAGCAGCAGCTGCAAACAAAAAACAGTTGAACTCTTTCTTATGGCGGGGACAACGACTCGAGTGTGAAGCGTTCCAAATATATAAAAAAAAAAAAAAATATATATATATATATATATATAAGTATGCATATGCATATATATATATATATATATATATATCTTTAGCTTGACCCGCTTTCAGTCAACAGTTTTTGAACTTGAACCAATTCGCATTTTTTTTTTCTCATTTTTGGTTTTTTTTTGCTCATCCATTGGCGATCATAAAGTGATTTGAATTTATTGCCCAGCAAGAAAATAATTTACATATGTAAAGCTGAAGCAGCTGCTGAATCAGACTCAGTTTGCGATTGTTTCTATTTCTCTGCGTATAGATAGATAAATACGTATATCTAAAATATTTGGTTTTTAGGCATAATTAGCAAATATTTGCCAATTGAGCCTTGAGCCAAGACCTTGAACCGATTTCTTGCAGTTGTGAATAGTCTTGGATTGTCTTAAGATAAAACAATGTTGAGAGTTGATTAGCTGATGGCGATCTGTGGCCACAACAATGAAATTAGGGCACGTATATTAAGATCGTGATAAGACAATTGATTAAAGTCCAAGTTTGGCCAAGTTAATTAAAAAAATAAACAATTTGCCTTTTCTTAAATAAGCTTAACTAGTTTATAAAACATGTCTCAATAATCAACATATTAAAAGTAATCTCTTTCTTCCCTCTCTCTCACTCATTGAACAGCCAAACAAGATTGCGCATACGCCACAGAGTACATCAGAAGCGTCAGTCGAGTCGCTATGAAGGAGACCAAGGTATTGGAGGACGGCGACGTCTCGCTGCTATCCGAATCATTGCTGAAGATCGCCAAGCGAGAGCTGCGCGAGGACAAGTGCACGCGGGAGCAGAGTCTCGAGCAGCTGCGCAACTGGGTGCTAAAGAACGAGGATCTGCAGAACGTGCGCTGCGATGATACCTTCCTGTTGCGCTTTCTGCGCGCCAAAAAGTTTAGTGTGCCCATGGCAGAGCAGACGCTGCTCAAGTATCTGAACATTCGACGCACCTTCCCACACATGGCCACCAAGCTGGACTTTCTGGAGCCGCGCATGAGCCACCTCATCGAGCAGGGTTACATATTCGCGGCGCCCAAGAGGGACAAGCACGGCCGGCGGGTGGTGATCATCAATGCCAAAGGTTTGAATCCAAAGTTTCACACAAGCTGCGATCAGGCAAAGGCGCATTTTCTCACCTACGAGTGCCTGATGGAGGATCAGGAGACGCAGATCACGGGCCTGAGTCATGTCGGCGACTTTGCGGGAGTGACTACGGCGCATGTGACCAACTGGAATCCCACAGAGTTCGCACGCGTCTTCAAATGGGGCGAACAATCGCTGCCCATGCGCCACAAGGAGATTCATCTGATCAATGTGCCCTCCACGTTGAAATGGCTGATTGACTTCGTGAAGAATCGCGTCAGCTCCAAGATGAAAAACCGTCTGAACATCTATGGCAGCGACAAGGAGCTGATGAAGAGCGTCGATCCTGAGTGCCTGCCCCAAGAGATGGGCGGCTCAATGCCCATGCGCGAGATGATCGAGCTGTGGAAACAGGAGCTGGCTAGCAAGCGGGATCTGGTTCTGGCCCTCGATCAGAGCACGTTGCTCTCAGATCGTGGCATACAGCGACGCAGCAGCTACAATTCCGAGAAGACCAGCACGGGCACCAATTTCGTCTCACAGATCGAGTCCATCGAGGGCAGTTTTCGGAAACTGGAATTCGACTAGGCGCACCCGTCTACCCGATCCAATGGCTCTTACGCTATTAGATGTATATATATAAGATTTAGTTATAGGCAGTATCCTTAATTTGTAATTTGGCACACGCAGCGCTTTGCCTTGCTGTTGGCTCATCTTCCCGGCTGGCAGCTAATGTTCCGCTGGGCTGGGAGCGGGCACTCGCTTTCGCTTTTCGGTGGCACCCCGCTTTAATAATCCTGCGCTTCTTTTGTATAATATTTTTTGTGTGGAGTACAATAAAAAGAGAACAAAACGAGAGGAACAACTGGCCAGCTTCATTTACTTCACTTCCAGTTGGCCGGCATAGAACGGCCAGCGCTTCAGCTGCCGATGCAGTGCATCCGCATCCCATACGCTGCGACTCACATTGCGCACCGCATAGAGCCGATAGCCGGGCTGCAGCTTCAGACGCCGCTGCGATTCCCAGAGCAGCGCCTGGGCCATCTGCAGCTGGCATACGCTTGGCAGCCACTGACTGAACTCCCCAACAAAGGCCAGCACCAAGGAGCTCGACTGCGGCAGCTCTGCAAAGCTGCTCACATACCGCCAGCCCCTCGCCTCGTACGTCTCACAGTCGCCAGCCATGAGAAAATTGAATGGCAGCTCACCGAAATGTTTGCGCTGTCAACGAAAGTTATTCAATAATATATATATATATATATATATATATATATATGTGACCTGCGACTCACCTGCAAGCTGTGCAGCAGACTCGCACAGTTCTCGCTGCACTCCTCGCTCCCCGTGTGTGTAATGAAAACATTAACAACTTTGTCAGCCTCCAGCTGCGCGAGATCATGTAAATACGCCCCACTCCATATATCATGTCTGATCAGGTTCAATTTGTAGCCTTTATACGGTAGGGCAGATGCTGTAAGCATATAAATTAGTATTACACCTTCAGTGCAACCACAGCTAAATAAAACTAATCATTTAAAACGTTCTTTACTTCGCTTTATGACTTTTCGACTGCAAACCTTATGCAGTGACTCTCAAACTGTACGCACATTAAATACAAAAAATATAGTTTTAAAAACAATTTAACTTTATTGCATTGCAACCACATTAGTTAATCATCATAATTAATACAAAATTATACTTTGTTTTATGAGTTGACAGACTAGGAGCCACCCTGTACGCCATGTCATTCGCTTTATTAAAAGTTTCTCATTTCACAAGAATTTGGTCAGGTAAGGAAAGCTGGCAGAATCTTTTTGCCGCATTTGATTGCTTTAACTGAAAAAACACACGATATATAATCTATAAACTTAAGTTTCACGTGCACTGCAATCAATTTATAGGGATTCCCATTTCAAACTCTTTGTTTTCATTCACCTTTCTGAGCAATTCACCTAAATTAAACAAATTCTCATTTAACTTGTTTAACTAAAAAAACGCAATGTGTTACTATTTTTATGAGCACGGCTGTACTTATTAACTAATTTAATAGCTAAACTTACTCAGATACTAACACTAAGAGATTTATATTTATCTGCAGCCACAAAATAAAATGAATTGAATCAACAGCGTTTTCTGTGGACATCATAATAAGGGCAGAACAGTCACTTACTTTGTTGCCAGAGCAAATAAGTGGCCAGCACCAGGCCGCTGATGAACATCAGCAGCAGCCCAATTGTGCGCCAATTGATGCATTCCTTTGTGTATATGGCTGGAGACAAGCTAGCAGCGGACGGTGTTTCAGATGTGGATGATCTGGAACTGGGCAGCAGTGGAGTGCGCTCGCTGGACTCCATGTAAATCTCAGTGGGCGGGTAGTTGTCAAATGAGCCTGTGTACTCGGACGTGTAGCTGGGATGTGGTCCACCACCAACAGTCGCATGCACTATGATTATGCGAAACAAACAAATAAATATGATAAAACAACAGCCCGCAATGATAAGCCATGTGGCACAATTTGTTTGCTTAAGCTGTGCATTTACTCGCCACAAGCTAGGTCAAGCCTTGCATCCGGGAATAACCCCAAACGAAAGAGAAAGCATTCCATAAAATCTCTTCACATATCGAAGTCACCTACCTACATTCTGATTGACTTCCATCAGACTCAGTAATCCAGCACAATGGCAGCCCTTATTTGCTCCGGTTCGCACTGGAATATGTTGGATTATCGTTTTTAATCGGGATTGCACAAAGAAGAAACTGCGATGGCATCGGCAAGCTGACTGATCCACAGACTGTAGCCGCAGCCCGCATGACGTTTCATTACAGCTGTTCTACAGCACGCACACATACATAAGTGTCCATGTACTCTCGCCCTCGCTATGCATGAGTGTGTGTGAGTAGGCTTTCACAGAGTCTGTATTTATTGACATATGTAGTAGTTAGATTACATACATTGGCGGCAATTGCTTTCATAATGAACAGTAAATATAAATATATGTATGTCTGTCAATATGTACAGTCATATTTGTATTCTATTTAAATAACATGTTCCGCTTTGACTTTATTTAGTTTCTTGCACTGCTTTTAATTTTTGTTTTCTATACTAATAACAATCACTATTATTATTTATACACACACACAAAGTAATTTTGCTTAATTATTTGTACAGTGCTTCACTTGAACAATCATTTAACTTAAGACTTTTTAGTGCTTTAAATACTAAAACATAAATATATGTCATTCATTATAATGCAAACGCGAGTTGATAGCTGCCAAAAACATGCACAACTATAGAGAAACACTCATTGACATTTCGGACTTTGAACCACTTTAAAATTTAACTAGGAAAACGAAAAGTATCGAAATTCTAAAAGAAATGCATACGCCACAGCGTTTAACTAACTTATAAAACCAAATACTTAGGGTCAAGTTCAAGATTACGGGCCGCTTCATTGCTGACTGCACTGGCAATGACTGACTTATCCCATTCAGAGTGCTTTTTGTTTACTTATATGATCGCCATATCTGCCAAGCACACAAAGCTGCCGATAAGAATGTAATGCCACGATGCAAGTATTTGGATTGAGTATTGGGCGCATAGCCCAGGATCACAGGCGAGGATACATCTGTTAGCGGTAGCTTGTTTAATGCGACTTCATTGTTTTCCTCAACCTAACAGAAAATGATTTAGTATCCATTCGATTAACTAAAAGCATGTTTCGAATACCTGATATTGGCAGCAAGGATCATAGTTCCAGGATACTGTATATAATCCGGCACAGAACAGCGACATCGCACAAATGGGAGCCGCAATCACTGGACGGTCGTACCACAACAAGCTAGATATTAAAGAAACAACGCCAGTTGTCACTGCAGTCTTATGGAGGCAATTGCCCACCCATATCCAGCGTCCTAAATATATAAAATTGTTAATACATCAACAAAGTTTCAGGTAAATCAATACATTACTTACCAGTCTCATCGCCTAATCTCGGCGGCTCGATGATAATAAAATCTACTTTGGCCTCAAGCGCCTTTTCCAGCTCTGCTTCGAATCGTTCGTGCGCATTTGAACTGTCATAGACTTCGCGAATAACATGAAATGTTGGCTGCTTGCCTGTACTGTAGTAAAGCGTTTATATAATTAAAACATATTCTATTGTAGTTCGTCTTATCCACTTATTTAACAGCGCAAGAATTAATTTTCAAACTTTTTTAATCTTAACGGAATTCGATTGTGTTTAATCAGTATTTATTTTGAGCATGAATGCGGCCACACTTATACGCAAATGTGCATACATATGTGTGTGCAAATACAATTACATACTTATACACAAAACGAAACCGCATCGAAAATTGCATAACTTAGTGACGATTGCACCGTATTTGAAAGTGGCTCTCTTCTGCTTTTACCTGTTTTTGTATAGGTCTCGAATATTTACCTATCAATGCTTTTGCCAAGCATTTTGTTGCATTTGTTTTGAAGACTATAACTGCGCGTTGTTTTTATGGGCTAAGCGATACGATAATATATACCATCGGCAAAATCGAAACACATCTGTCGGCTATCGACGCACCGCCGTTTAATATCGAAATGATAATCGAAGTCATGTGGCAACGCTAAAGTGTATATTATATTCTGATAATTGTTTGTTTGTTAAATAAATAAATTTTATGATTAAAAGATACGCATTGAAAATATCATTTGCTTATGTTTTAAGACCAAATAAAAAATTTTGTAAATGTCTGCATTGAACCTCTTCGTAAAATATAGATTTTGAAACGTATAAACAAAATTGAAGCTCCTCGTGCGAACGAACTAGTTCATAAGTTCAGTTCCCGAATTGTTCAACACAACATAAGAAAAACAATTCAATAAAACAGAGAAACAACATGGACAAGCAACGATTGCCGCTGCCGGAGATGATAAATGATGATAAGCACCGACACAAACAGGTGAATAGCAACAACTGCAACAGTAGCCAAAGATGCATTCAGCTTTTCCACGCCCTTCAATATCTTCAACTAAAAATTTCTTTGTTTGTCGCAGTTCAATGGGCATTTTGACAGCAACCGATTTCGACCGCCTAAAGTGAAAACGCGCTATATTGCCGTTGAGAATAACAATTTAAATCGCAGCCAGTCGTCCGGATCCTGCAGTGCAAACAACTCTCGAATAGCGCACGCGATTTCCTTTCGTGGCGGATCAGAGTGCTCGGATGCCGGTATATTGCCAGCGTCGCCAAATGTTGCGGCTGCCTCGTCTATGTCCATGTCCACGACGTCCTGCAATATGAGTCACTTCGAGCAGTGTTTCGAACGTTTAACGAAGCTAGGCGAAGGGTCCTTTGGGGAGGTGTTCCAGGTGCGAGATCGTTCTGACAGCCGGCTGTACGCGGTCAAAATCTCCAAGCAATTGTTCCGCGGCGAACAATATCGAGCTGAGCGACTGGAGGAAGTACGCCGATACGAGGAGTTCTCTGGACATGAGAATTGTATTCGATTCATACGTGCTTGGGAGCAGTACGATCGACTATTCATGCAAATGGAGTTGTGCCGCGAGAGCTTGGAACAGTATTTATATCGTTGTCGACATATTCCAGAGGATCGTATCTGGCATATATTACTAGACTTGTTGCGTGGCTTAAAGTCGCTGCACGATCGCAATCTCATACATTTGGATATTAAGCTGGAGAATGTGCTGATTGATGATGACGACACTTGCAAGTTGGCGGATTTTGGGCTGGTCATCGATGTAGATAAGGCGAACAACCATCAAGCAACGGAGGGCGACTCGCGTTACATGGCGCCCGAAATATTGCAAGGGCATTTCTCCAAAGCTGCAGATATCTTTAGTCTAGGCATCGCAATGCTAGAGCTGTCATGCTACATGGACTTGCCATCTAATGGACCGTTGTGGCATGAGCTGCGCCAGGGCAAATTGCCCGAAGAGTTCATCAGCAGTGAGTACTTCATACCATCAATATTGAAATATATATAAAACAATTTCTTTGTGGTTGCAGAAATCTCAGTGGAACTGCAGCAGGTGATTAAATGCATGATGTCGCCGGATCCACGACAACGATCAACGACAGAGCAGCTGTTATCGCATCCTCGCCTGCTGCGAATGCAGAAGCAGGAGAAATCGATGGTCACATTTAAGCTGCTGGTAGGTTTTTATTTAAATCATTTGCCAGATTAGATATATATAGACAACATCTATTCTATTTCCCAGTCGAAATGCTTTCGCCGGTCGCGCCGCGCATTTTGGTTAAAAATGTGTAATCTAAGGACGGTGGCGTATCGTTGTTTATTCTACATATTAGAAATCTTACACCTGTACAAGCCCATTACATCAGCGCAGACTCCGATGTATAATGGTAATACAGCAACCGCTGCGCCCTCATCGCCATCCGCATCTGTTGCCGGTGTTCCGCGCTTAGAGTTTCAACTAGTGGGATCAACGCCCATTGGTAACCGAGATTGTTATATCTCAGATTTTCTCTTAGCTATGGATATGGATTTATCACAGCACGGCACGCCAACAGCCTGTGGACGAGATAACCTGGTGAATTCGACGCCCATAAATCATAATCATCAAACGGCCAACCGACAAAGAAGGCAAGTAGCTCAGTCTTATAATGCATTAGACTCTTGTATTAAGAAAGAGACTAATTTGTGTGCTCTTATACTACAGTTCTTCAGCGCGTAAGACTCAAGCAGAAAAGAGCAATTTATTATCTGTAGATGAGAGCAATTCGTTTGACAAACTGTCCACATCGAAAGTATTGGAAACTTCTTCGTTTCGTGGTAAAAAACTATTTACATTAGATGTTGATGAGGAGTAAGTGATCCTCCAGATTGAAACGGAATGAATTTATGGTTACAAAGCATATATATACAGTATATCAGTTACAAAAAAGGCAACCCATACATATGTCAAAAAATATATCGTTATATATATTTAAAGTTTAGTTTGTAGTGTCATGAATATCCCTAGTTGTTAGGCCCAACGATTATATAATGTTAACGCTTCTTTAGAAGAACTTGTTAAAACTAAACTTTGTTTTTATAAAGTAATCCGAATTGTAAAAGATAATACATATAAGCATGTGATATATACGAAATGCGATTTGTAAAAGCCGCAAAATTATAAAGAAAGCTATCATAAAAATTATCAATTTAATTGCAATAAATATTACATTGAAACGAACGAGTACGTTCGTATATTAAACATAGACAATAAATATTAAAAGATGTTTTAAATTTGAAAGTATAATTCTATAACTGCAAATTAACATGTTTAGAAGCTGAAAAGTGCGATCGACTCGCATGTGCGTTAACATTTCGTTAACAGACGCAAAAATAAGAGCAAACAGGAGTCTAAAATTGCGTTTATTAACCAACATGTGGCCAGTCCAAATGTAAACAACGAGGTTTTCGGAAAACTCAAAATCGAGTCAAGATGGGTCGCACCAAGAAGAAAGTAGAGATTGTATTCGATTCACAAAAACGCAAGTGAGTAATAGACAATATTTGTGATTAGCAGCACGATAATAATTTGGCGCATACAAAATAGAGACTTCTTAACTGGCTTCCGAAAGCGAAAAAACGAACGCCGCACGCGGGCAAAGGCGCAATTGGATCGCAGTCTGAAAGAGGAGCACAAACGTATACGAAAGGAGGTTAAAGATGGCTTCAAGCATCTCAAAAAATCCTTTGAACCCCTACGGGAACTAACTGACGACGATAAGATTGAAGGCTTACAGCAAACTGAAGCATACGAAGATGATGAAGTCCAAGTTAAAATCGTCGAACTGACCACGAATGATTTGGCTGCTCAACGCAATATGCTTGGTGCCAACATAGCTGACGAGAGTGATGAAGAGGAAGCACCACAGGAGAGCGAGGACGATGACCTGCATCAGACCAATGTCATACCCGGCATGGATTTCGATGTCAATGCCAAACGGAAACGCAAAGCGGTAGCCGGAGCTGATGAAGAAGAAGGTAGCAAGGCTGTCGATGCAGATATTAGAAGCAAAAAGGAATTGGACAGACTGATGAAAACAAAAACGCTGAAGAAAATAAAAAAGAGCAAGTTGTTCAAGCAGAAAGAGCGCATTGACAAGAAGGCCAATCTACAGAAGGCGAAACGTGATCGTAACAACACCATCCGAAGCGTACCCAAGCATCAAAGGAAGAAACTGAAGCATGGCAAACCGACAGCTGGCGGACAGACGCGCTATCGCAAAGGTCGCCTAATGAACAAGAAGGAGCTACGTCGCAAACGAAGCGGTGGCGGCGGCGATTAGCGTTAGCCAAAAGTCTAAACCATCTAATTTACATAGTACATAATATATAATAATGTTTAGTTATTCTTTTTTGTTTTACGGTTTATTTACTATTACACTAAATTGATCGAAATAAACTGTATAATATAATTTTGCTAATTCGCCGGCGCCGGCCGTTTTTCTTTGTTCATATGCCTTATATGTAAATGTGTTTTGTTTCTTTTTGTTTGTTTTGTATCATATATATCCAACATGTTTTTATTTATATTTTGGGGTATATTTAACACTAGCAATCGGTTATTGCCGCTAATGCTATAAATAAAAGTGGCGTTCAACTGAAATATCCGTTCCTTGCGCCATTTAACTTAGACCGATGTTTAATCTACACTCTCATTGTTTAATATTTAATATGTACAGAATTTGTTTCTTGTTAGTTTCTTAAAAATATTGTTTCTGGTTGTTATTTTATTTTTGTATTTCTTATAAGGTTTGCATCAATGTATGTTACGTGTTTGTTTTTTCTTTTATCCTTTAAACAGTTTTGTTTTGGTTTTAGGCATAATTGTTTGTTTCTTTTTCTTAGTTTTTTTAATGATTTTTTTTTTTTTTGTGGGGTAGCAACACTTTTTGAAAATGTTTACAGCCCCCCGCGACATCATGTTTAAATCATGTATATTCCAAAATTCTCATTTAAAAATAAACACAATAAATAAAATGCCAAACACGTTTACAAATTAAACTTGGTAGAGGTTGCTCTAGCTTATAGCTTACATGTCCTAGTCCTAATATATGCATCAGCAGTTAAAAAATGTTTACAAAACTCGTGTAAAATCCAAGCGAACCCGTTTGCCACCTGCTGGGCAACGGCCACAGCAGCAACAACTAATGGGACGCATTGCTCAACGTCCAGTTACGATTGTTGCTGCTGCTGTTGTTGTTGATGGCCTGTCGATTGGTGTTGGCGGCGCGTGAAACCGCCGCCAGACGCCAGATGACGCTGCAAGGCACGCTGCTGTTGAAACTTGGCGCCACCGCCGCCAAATCGATTGTATTTAAATTTATTGCGCTGCTGAAAATTCTGTCGATAATTTTGATAGAAGCGGGGAAAAGAGCCAGACTTGTTTCCGTTCCAGCGCTTCTGGCTCTCAAACTCCTGGAATGGATTGTAGCCGGGGGTGCCATTATTACATTTGACCGACGCCGATTTAACCTTGCGCTGACGTCCCCGATCCATTTCATTCTCCTCGTCATCTTCCGCATCACGCTTCCGCTGCTCGCGTGCCTCTGCCAGCAACTACAGACAAAAAGATGTTTAGTTTAACACACTTCAGATATTTCAATATAAATGTGCTTGGCTCTAGGAATGGGTCGTTGGTAATGAAGCTTATGCAGATGAGTTAACGAGCACAATTTGCATGCGATTTATAAATTGAAAGTTGGAGAATGAACGATCGATTAGAGAAATCGATATTTATAACTGCTAAAACTATATTATAAATTGAGTATTTAAATATAAGTATGGCACTGAATATTCATGGTCCTATCGATATTTCGATAAATAGTTTTCCAGTTTCATTTATCTAGCAGTTAATTTGGCAAAACGGTAACGGGCACGGATGAATTTATGATGACAACGGGAATCAAACTGGCAGTCAAATCATAAGCTTCATTGATTAGATAGAGGATAAAAAGGTGGATAACTACAACTGCAGTTTTACCTATTGGGCACTAGGATTTCGACGGCGTTCTTGAAACAGGTTATTAGGTGGGGAGTATTAGGCGCATTGAAGTATCCACACGCAGCATGGAGACTTCAACACAATCACAGTTCGAGGAAAGTTGTGGGAAAAGTGAGATATGCAAGTACTTCTTGCAACAGCGGCTAAAACAATTTATCTGGTGGTGCCTTGGAGCTGTTGCTGTTGCTGTTGCAGTTGCTGTTACTGTCAATGTTCGTTTTACTGTTAATATTACTGTTACTGTTGACGCCGACATGCCCATCCGTATCGCCGTAACCAGCTATCCGTTTCGCACAAACCAAATCAAAAGTCTATATGAATGTGGGGTAAAATAGTGGAAACAAATGCAAAAATTACAAAAACAATTTTCGTAACAAAAAAAACATCATGCAATGAGTATTTACAAATACACAGAAGAGAACAATCACCAAATACAGATAGTAATCGAAAACATAGAACAAAGAGAAATGATACAAAATCTTTAATAAAAATGCGTTGTTTTCACTGTTCTTCGATATTCTTATCGATATTTATAAATAGGTATGGGCGTATTGTTTCGTAGTTATCGATATGAGAGCTATTTTCAACACACTCGATTATTGTAGTAAAAACGACGCATCTTTAATCAACTAAAGCCAAACTACAAGCTACATTGCATTTGAAAACCGGGTGCCTTGGCACTTACCTCCTTGTCCAGCTCCGAGGGTTTGCCATTCCAACTGAGCACTGAACTGCCATAACCACGATGGGTCTGCTTTAACAGCTCATTGACTGCATTGCCATTGGCCATAGTCTCACTTTGATAGCCATTACCGATGCGCGGCGTCTGCGGCGCCTTGGCACTACCATTTAGCAGTTTTTGGCGCTTAGCTCCAGGTGTGGCATCTGCTGCTGTCGCTTTGCTGACGGCAAATGGATTATTAAGATTTTTAGCCGTGGCGCTCGGTGTTTGTTCTTCCACAACAATGACTTCATCGTCTTCGTCCTGATCAGCATCAGCATCATCATCCTCATCCTCATCATCATCATCATCGTTATCATCAGTGCGCGTTATCTGCCAAATGCCAGTCTTGGATTTGATCACTGCTGGTGAAGGCGGCGTCTTTGGCGAAGGTGGCGCTTTGCCATTTTGTGACTGCCAGCCATTGTTGCTGATCAAACTGGAGGAGTTGCTTAGCTTTTTTGTGACCTGCTGCTGCTCATCCTCATCCTCGTCGTCATTAGCAGTTGAATCTACTACTGTTGTGGCTCTGTGTTTGTTTTTGTAGTTGTTTAAACTTTTAAATATCTCGTCTATGGCATCAGTCTTTTGTTTGTTGCTGTTAACATTGGCCGACGAGGCGTTTGAGGCGGACTTGGATTTGCTGTTGCTGTTGCAGTTGGTGTTGGCATGTCCATTACGCAGAATTGATGGTGTTTCGTCCTCTGATTCACTAGAATCAGCGCCACTGCGTCGCTTGCGTGGATTAGCTGCCTGTTGCTGTGGCACTAGCAGATGGTGTTGCTGTTGATCCTGTTCCTCCTCAGAGGCGGACTCATACGGCACCAGGCTCTTGAGTGGCGTCTTTGGCTTCAACTTGGCAGTTTGGGCAACATTCTCGTTATCTTCAAACATTTTGGGCATGCTCGGCAGCTGTGGCGCTGTGTTGGCTTTCACATCAACATCATCGTCACTGTCCTCCTCCTCATCCTCCTCATCGGATGATATTGGCAGAATATGTTGTTGCTGGTTTTGGCTATTGGTTGTTAAATTGTTGTTGCAGGAACTTTTATTAGAATTTGCATTTGAATTTGCATTTGCAGCAGTGTCTCCCTTATGCAATGCCCCAACCAGTGAATGCTTCGATTGCGCAGACTCCTGAAATTTATTGGCCCCAATTAGAAGACCATTTTGTTGCTGGTGCGGCTGCTGTTGTGTCTGCTTCTGTGGCGTAGACTTGAACTGAATTGAAGTCTTTGCACCTCCAAGTGCATGCCCGTTGTTATTGGCATATCCATTAGGTAATTGTGGTCCAATGAAACGCGGAGACACAGCAGAGGCGGATGTTGATGTGGCCGTGGCTGCCACAGCCACAGTAGCTGCCGCCGGGCTATGCTGTCCATTGGTGAGACGCAGCCCGTTCAGCTTGGGTACAGTAGTATTACAGTTGCTGATGTTATTAATACAGCTACTGGCTACGTCTAACTCGTAGAACATGATGTACGCATTCGTATTGCAGACACTTTGCATTGCAATAGGTCTGACATAGCTGTCATCGAAGTTGTAATAGCTTCCTGCCTCCGTAAGCCCTATGGCCGTGTAATGACCACAATGCTGAGAGACGCCCAAGTGTGTGACCATAGATACAAGACGATAGCTCAAAGGCTGGTTTGCTGCCGTTGGGCTGCGTGCTGCGAATCGGCTGAGGTCTATGCGTGGCTTGAAGCTAATCTGTTTGGTCAGCTTATTGCCCATCATCGAGAAGCGCTTCAGTTGAATACAGAGCGTAATTGGAGCACGCTCCAAGCTAAATTGTTTAGTAGCAGAGACCTGGAGAAGAATAAGGTAGAAATATGTATTTAATATTAAAATACTTGCATGAAGAATCTTTAACAGTGGGCACTCACCTTTTTCTTGCAGCCCTCGCACTTGTAGCCCATGTCTTCGAGACGCTCACGTGAAAAGTATCCATCGAAGGCCTCCTCCAGGGTATCCGCCTTGCGTATGTCCAGCAACAGATCTTGGAAATGTTGAAACGTAATCGAGACATGACTGCAACTAAGGCAGCGCACCTCGCTACGCAAATAGCCACCAAAGATTTGACTCAACGGTGTCGTCTCTTTCACCAGCTGATCAAGTTCTTTGTAATTGCGAAATCGCATCAAATACGCTTTCTCCATGGCTTCGACCAGGAAGCGTAAAAACTCATGGGCATCCTCCTGTCGGCCAACGACCATGTGTTTGCATATTTGCCTTAGCTTTGTGTAGATGAGAAATGGTCGAACGGCCGATTGATTGGATTGTGTTGTCTGCAATGTCTTGGCCATCGCACAGATAATGCAGCCACCGCCACCACAAGACTCACTAATATTGCAGTTCTCCAAATGAGACGTCTCCGAGACGAGCCAATTAGCCAGCGCTGGTATGTGGAAGAGAGCCTGCAGCGTCGAATTGAGGTAACACGTATTGCCTACATTCAGCATTCCAGACCCCACTTGCCACTTCCTCTCCGACTGCTTCCATCCGATGCGGATGTTCTCGCGTGGGTACAGCACCCGTTTGGGCTTAGGCAATTCATTGGGATTCGTTGTGGAACTCTGATTGGACTGATCCACTGTCTGTTTACGATTGCCATTCACAGTGGCAGCACTGCTGCCGTTCACACCATTAGTATTGTCTGTGAATGAAACAGCAAATTTGTGCCTGGGCATTAGCACATGTCGAAAGAGTCGCACCAGTAGCAGCAGGCAGGGCAACAACACAAATTTATAGAGCAGCCACAGTGCGTAGCTGCTATCCGCAATTAACACAGTCATTATAATACATTGGACGTATCCCAGTTGTGGCACACGAAAAATTAGCTTGAATACTAAAATTAAAACGAATATGACGGACACAAATACTGCCAGAGGCAGCGAGCGCCACATACACGCAAATATATATATATATAGAGAGTTATGCACATATATAAGTGGTCACCTGTGCCTTTGTGTTTGTGTTGTGTTGATAACAGCGAGCGTTTACTTGACGTACTCGTTAGCTTTACAAAAAGAAATGAAAAAAAAAGCGTGACCACTATACAATGCGTCGACACGTATTGTCGTCTCGTTTTAGCGCATGCAAATTGCAAGTTCTACGGTTACGCTGAGTGTTGCCAACTGAAATTTGGACTGCTCGTTGTGCAAATGGTACAACTTTTGCGCGGTCTAACAATGCCTGTTGTTGTAGGCGTATTCATATTGTTGTTGCCATTGCTGCTGCTGCTGCTTGTGCTGGCAAAACAACATGGCCAGAGCAGAAGTCTTTGACCATTTCTCTGCATTGTCTTGCGCCTTTGTTTTACTTCCTGCTTTGCGCAAACGATTCGCAACGCGTAAGCGACTGTGTGTGCAAGAATCACACACACTAACAAATAGTCGTAACAGTATGCACTTATGTATATGTATATATGGTCATTCAGAACATCCAACAAAATGCGATGAAACATTTGTTAAGAATCGAGTAAATAAATGAAGAAAACCCATCCTATTGCAGTTACCAAACTGAATTTTTAGCGCCAGTTTGGATACAATGAATGCGAGCGATAGAGCACGAGCGGAGAATTCGTATGAGTGTGAACGGGCGCGAATGAGCGACCGCGTGTAAAAGTGTTTGCCGCGACGGCGGCACGTTTTTTTTCTGCTTCTGCTATGTGATTCAGAAGTAGACAGTAGTAAAAATTTGTAGTGGTCTCGCAGCTACAGTCGCTGCCGCTGCCGCCGTCGGCGTCGCTGCCTGTCCAAATTACTCTTTGCGATCGTGTACTTGTTTTGCTTGCTATGTCTATTCTTTGCATTCTGTTTATATACGACTAACACGTACACCAGTCCATTTTCACACACATAAAGGCATAGGCACAGGCACAGTCGGTGCCACTGAGACGTTGAAGTCGACGTCAACTTCGGAGCTCATAAATGTTGCAGGCAGACAATTATGTTGACTCGTTCACACGTGATTTTGCGCCGAATATGGCAAAATAAACATGAAACACACATACATTTTTATGTAATTTTGAGCACACGCATCAAACAGAAAATGAGACAAAGCACTTACCATGCCCGTTGGAGCTGAGCGCTTTACCAGCGTTACTACCGTTAGTTTTGTAACTACAGTTGGCAACTATATTGTTATCCGGCTTTATGACAATGTATTTTGTTTTGAGTTTGGCCAACACAGATTCATGGTAATTCTCCACCTCTTCGTATTCGATTTTGGCCAGCAATATGCGCTTAGCATTGGCCACAATTTGACTCTGCAAGTTATCCGTGGTAGAAGCATCACCAATTTTGGCTTCATCGGCAGAAGCAGCAGCAGCAGCGGAATTGGAACCAGAGCCGGAACCGGATCGACCAGCTGCGGCCGCTGCAACGCAGCCGCCGCCAAGCGATTCGCGCAAAGCGGCATTCACGACATTTGCTGTTTCGCACACAGCCAACGAGACGGGCATGGCGCTCGCACTGGTAGGTGTTTGTGGAGGAATTTTGGAGGATTTTACGCTGCGCTCCCTCGAAACTCTGATAATGGACGTCAAGTTAGGTTGGGCGGGGTTGTATGGTGGGAGTAGGCAATAGCGCGTTAAATTAAATCGCTTGCAGCGGGACAATGGGGGGAGTGGCGAAAAGGAAATGAAAGCATTCGATTCGTTTTGTTGTTGTTGTTGTTATGTGGCGTAGGCGGGCGTGTTGCGCGGACTCGAATCCAGACACGCACCAACACACACACGCACACAGCACACACGCGCGCACACGCTTTACAGCTAGCTGTTGTACATTTGCGCAATCTTCGAGATCCTCCGCCCGGTCGACTACACGTTTTTCTTATGGCTGCCGCTGCCAGCGTCCGTTCAGCGACTGCTCGTCGTCCTTCAATAACGGTGAACGTTCGTTGCCCGCGCGACTACAAGGTACTTCTTTTTGTTCTTTTTCTTATTTTTTTTTTCGTCTTCAGTTTTCGTTTCACTGCTTTCGGCCAACACACCAACCAGCTAAACCGACGCACGCACACTAACACAATTACACACGCTTTTTTCGCTTTATGCTATTAGCTCCGTAATTCTGTTGAATGCCAGCTAGGAAACACGAAAACGACCGTCGTAATTTATTTGCAAACTACACATTACGATATTATCAGTTGCGTTTGCATATTTTGCGAGCGAAAAGTTGATTTTAGAAAAATAATGACAATTCCTTCCCTCGTGTTTCTTCCGACTGTCGATTCTCTTTCGCATCTCTGTTCGCTAAACGAGACTGTCCACTTGCCACAGTTAGTTGTCAGCTCCGCGTGAAGTTAGCTGCACGCAATCTGCCACTTACATGAAGTTAGCGGCGCGCAGCTTTTCGCTCACGTTAAGTTGGCAGCATAACAAAATACTTTGGTATTTTCAGATTTATTGATCGCGGTCACTCTGCATGACAAGTGCAGCAGATGTAAACGCATAAACATTTGCGCTCTTTACTAGTGGATAAATATAAATAAAACAAATACGTATAACTTAAAAGTCAGTGCACCAAAATGGCTTCATTCTTCAATGTTGGCGCTCTGGGTAATGTTTTCTCAACACCTATCGGACAACGCATCGGTGAGTAAATGACAAAATAGCGGTCGTGTAATGTGTGTGAGAGTGTGTAAGTGCGTATGCATGTCAATGTGAGTGGGTGTAATATATATTTATTAAATTGTATCACTTTTCAGGCAAGTAATATTTTGTGTGTGCATGTATTTGTGTTTATTTGCGCATTTGCTTTGTGGTTGCAATGGGCCACATTAGAGGCGGCAGAGCAATGAAAATCTGTCCGTGGAAAATTGAATTTTCCCAACTTTCTTTTGGGTGTTTTGTCATTTTCTTATTGTCACTCACACATACACACACAACCCGCTCACCGCAAAGCTAGATTTGTTGTTGCCATCTGATTACTATGGCGAAAAATAGACTCGTTATCATGATAGTACGACGGCAATCCCCTTCTCCCCATTGGGCAATTGTCTGATAAGATTGTAGCTACACATAGCAGATATTTAATATGTGTGTATATATATGTATATGTGGAAGCTACTAATGAAAGGCTGCCTTTTCCCAAATGACACATACGTAGAAATATGTACGTAAACACCGAACTATTTTCATGTTCATGAATTATTTGTTAGTCATAAAATACTAAAGCCAACTAAAACAAATAATAAAAATTAAATATATATAATAACAATTCGGCACACGCACCTCTGCGCCGAACTCCTTGACCAGCTCAAAGTGCGCTGCACGCAATTAGTCATCGAGACTTACGTTTGCCTCTGGTTGCTAGTTACATAAATGTGTTAATTTATTCATTTCTACTTTCTGCTCATTTTCGTAGTCACTTACTGATATATATATACACGTATTTCTGTGTGTGTGAGTGTGCCTTTGTATGCATTAGTGCTAATTTTCACTGGTTCACTAATTCACTAATTTGTTGCTTCACCTCTTCTTTCGCTCCACTTTGCCTTTGTTATTTCTTGTTTTGTTTGGTTGTGAGTTATGTTTGTTGTTGCCTATTGCGTTTTATTTAGGTGCGAGTGCGTTGCACTCGACAACAAAATTCAAAACTACGCTTCACTCTCTTACTCACGCTCTTGTATATAATTTGATCGGCTTACACGGAGCAAATATCTCGTTACGTTAACATGATATGCATTATGATGCGAACTAACTTCTGATCATATGAATACTAATAATTTATATATGGTTGTATGTTATTGGTCTCTTGGCAATAAAAAAATCGTATTGCTTGCAAAATTTATTGCTGCCGCATGGTTTTTATTGTTGTTTTTCATCGCGTAAACAAAATGAGATGACTACATCAAAATAAACCAAACAAAAAATGCTCTTGGTTGTTTAAAAGACAATTTAAATATTTAAACAAATTGTTTTAATGCTAACATCGCTGAAAATGAAATAATATACTATCTATATATATGCATATGTATATATTTGCAGAGGCTGCCACCGATGCGAGTTTGGCTTCGGAAAATTGGGCAGCGAACATGGAAATCTGTGACATGATCAACGAATCCTCCGATACGGCACGTGACGCAATGCGTGCCATACGCAAACGTCTCTCACAGAATGCTGGCAAAAATAATCAGGTGATCATGTATACGCTAACTGTGCTGGAGACGTGTGTGAAGAACTGTGGCAAGGCTTTCCATGTGTTGGTCGCCCAAAAGGATTTCATCAATGAGCTGGTCAAATTGATTGGACCCAAAAACGATCCGCCCGCCATAATGCAGGAGAAGGTTCTCAGTCTAATACAGATTTGGGCAGATGCATTCAAGAATCAACCGGATCTTAATGGTGTTACCCAAATGTACATGGAACTGAAGAACAAGGGCATCGAGTTTCCGCCCACCGATCTGGATGCTATGGCGCCCATATATACGCCACAACGAGTGAGCGCATGGACATTAACTATTCTTAATAGTACTCCTAAAGTATTTGTAACTTATTTTCAGAGCGTTCCAGAAGTGCATCCCTTACCGCATCCACAGTTAATGAGTGCTCAGCACACCATATCGCCTCAACATGCAGCAGCTGCAGCAGCAGCTGCTTCTCCAGCTACAGGACCGCTGCATTTAACACCTGAACAGGGTGCCAAACTGCGTTCCGAGTTGGAAATTGTTAGCAACAATATGAGCATATTGGCTGAAATGCTGAGTGTATTGAAACCGGGTCAAGAGCTGCCCGATGACTATGCCCTGCTGAATGAGTTGACAGCCACCTGCAAGGAGATGCAGTCGCGCATTGTCGATCTCATTGGACGCGTGCAAGATGATGAGCTAACGGCGGAATTTCTGCGTATCAACGACGAGCTTAACAATTTGTTTTTACGTCATCAGCGCTACGAGAAGAGTCGAGCGCAGGGTACTACTGGAGCGGCTGCAGTCACGTCACCATCTGCCGTTCTAGGCGCTGCGATGGGCGTACCGGCGGCAGGAGTGCCAGCAGCGACAGCCGGAGCAGCGGCAGCTGTTGTACCAGCAACAGCAGGAGCTGTTAGCAATACGCCACAAAGTGATCAACTGCTAATCGATTTGATTGAAAGCAGTGAGGATCATCTGCCGCAGAGTTTTGGACAGCTACAACTGGGCGCCGGCGGTGGAGTCGCAACAGTACCAGCAGTTGCCGCAACAGGTGCTGCAGATGAATTTGATATGCTGGCGCAGTCGCGCACCGATGGCAACCAGTGAGCAAAATATTTGGATAAGTCTTTAATATAATTTTGCTTAAAAATTGATTTCTTTATTACCGTAGCAAAACCGACCTGCTCCGCGATATTCCCATTGTGGATGCAGCAGCTGGCAGCGTGTCCTCGCCGTACAAGCAAACAAAGCCGACAGCAGCAGCATCAGCAGCGGCAACACCACCACAACAGCAGCAAACACAACGCTCAGCCGGCGATCCGCCGGTGGTAAGTAAAGTGAGTAATGTGAACGCCTTAGAACCGATGTAAATTAATATGTCGCTCTAATGTTTGTTTGTCTAATCCGTTATTTATTTAATATTTCAATTTGCATTACTGTTTATTTATGTATTTTTATGTTCTTATATGCAAATTCAAATTTGATTTGTTTTTGGTTTTGATGGCGCCTACATAGTCGACGAAAGAGAACGAGATCGACGAAATGGAGGCGTGGCTGGGCAGCTCAGTAAGTAGCAAAGCAGCAAAACAACAATTTAAACAAGTTAAACACTCATGCTTGTTTTTATTTTATGCACTCATGGCACACACTAGCTTTTAAGTTGTTCGATTAAGACATGAATTACGTTTGCTTTTTGTTAAATTTTGTTTAGGTGTATTATGCATTGAGTAATGCTTTGTTTGTTTCCAACAGAAAGACATTGATGGCATTGAGGAGCTGACAAGCTCAGAATTCGACAAATTCCTTGAGGAACGGGCCGCTGCCGCTGAAAATCTTCCAACGATCAATGCATCGAATTCCACGACAGGATCTGCAACTGACAACAGCTTACGAAAGACACCAAAGAAACCAGGAGCTGACGACGATTTGCTCGCTCTTTGAGTATAATCGGGGCAACACCCCCATTTTGTTTACTCTTTCCGAAATGTTACACACGCCTAACATATTTATACATAACATATATATGAATATATATATATATATATAAATAGCGTATACATATAACAATTCATGTAAAATGTTTTAATTTTTTTCCAATTGGCTTTTGTATCTTTAAAGTCTCTTGTCATTGTCTTAACAAGAAATTCCAAAAACAACAACTGCAACGACAATTGTAACTTATTCCAAAATGCAATTTTATTTTGCTCTAATTCTAAGCTAGACACACACACATACACATGCATTGATTGTAATTGTAATGTATATTATGTTAAAAAATCTATTTGTTGTTTATTTATACATATACACATATACCTTATAAAGTTAATTTATTAAAGAAAAGAAAAAATAAAAACAAATCACAACAATAGAAAATATTTACATGCATTGAGTGGAAATGTTTAATAATCTTTAAAAAATTAGCAAAGCTTATTTGAGAAATCCATTTCTATGAATGCATAGGTCAAAGCAATCTAAAAGATAATTCCCAAAATTGAGAATTGAATTTGAAAACTCTGGAATGGCAATCACTCCCGCATGAGTTCTTTTTGGGACATGACTTGCGTATCGTCGCCATAAGAATCGTCATCCCCAGCATCATTCTCTTCATTATTCTCAACCTCTTCATCAGTATCTGCATTAGCTGCAACATTAGCACGCTGTTCCAGCATCCGCTCAAGCTCTTCAATGCGCTGCTTTTTGCTATTAATAAGCAATATGAATTTTTTGAGCAATTTTTTTTCGGCCATCTTGGACTCTTTAACGTAATGCTCGTATTCTGTGAGCAGTTCTTTGGACTGCTCACCTGGCCCATCAGCAGCATCGACCTTAGCAGCTGGTGCTTCAGTGAGCGTTGCTGCCCGTTGTGCACTCTCAATGGCGGCATCCAGCATTTGATAGCAATTGGATGCCTTGCGCAGGGGCAGATCTATATAAAGCGTTTCGAAGCCGGTGCACTTGAAGAGCTTAAAGCATGCCTGCTGCTCATCCAGTTCGTAGTCGAAGTCCGGCAGTCCCATTTGTGTTACAAGAGCCTTTTTACATTCCGCATAGAATTCGTCATACGGTTGCTCTAGGTCTTCCGCAGCGCTTTTAATTTCATCATGCTTTAAAATTGCTTTATAACTGTTATTACTAGTTGTGAGCAACAGGTCCAGCTCTGTCACATCCTCTAACCACTTGCTGTGTATATAGATAAAATGTTTCACATCCGTTTGGCTGTGACTTAGCTGGGTGCGCTGTAGCACTTTAACTATATGGTTCGTCATTTTAAATTTAAGTATGTAAAGAATCAAAAACAGCTGTTCTCGATGACGATAACGATGACGATTTATATCGAACTGCTCCGCACTGACTTAGTTGCCGGGGCATTTTATACGTTGTCAACACTAAGCCATTTAGTATTAAGATTAAACAATTAATTGGCCATACCAGTCAATTAGAGTTGTTCGCTTCTGTTGCTGCGGTTGTGAAGTGTTTTCAAGTGATATTCGACAATATGCTTAATAACATTATCAATTTCGCCAATTACTGGTGGTTTCGCTATCTAATGGTGAGTAATAATTGTGTTATTAGATTTTAGTTTAAGTGATGCTACAATGCACACACATACATAAATACTTTCTCACAAATGTATGTATGCCTTCGAAATATATATTTATCTATATTATTTGTTATCAATCCGCACGTTTCTGTTTAACACCAGGTGACTGAGCTATATGTAGTCGAAAAATGGGAGCGTGTAACAATACGTAAGTTAAAATGCAATATAGATAGTGATTCGTCATTCCAAGTAATTATTGACACTTGCCATTTTCCACAGACGCCATATTTATGATTCTCTTCTGCGTGTTCTGGTACTTCAACTACTCTGTGCTGCTATCACTAACTGGAAATCTATTTAAATACACGCCAATTGGAAACATTTTGCCTGCAATGCCACAAGCTGCGGGCATCAAAGTCACATAATGGCTTTGGAAGCTAAATACTAATAGCTAATAAATTTTCTGCAAATAATATTAGCTAGATTGCTTTGATATCCAATATAGATATAGAGCGTATATATAATATATAATATGTATATATATATATATATATATATATATATATATATATATATATTTATGTTTATATATAATATTGTGCAGAACAGTTCAAACTCAGTAACTCGATGTACTCCTTTACACCTATCTCGCATAAATTTTGCCTATCTGTAAATGTGACTAAACTTTATATCATAAAGATCGGGATCGATTTATAATCGTGTTTTCAAGTACTAATTGCACAATTTTTAGGCTAATTTAGATTTAAGCTTTAGCATTGCACGTTCAAATAAAAGCTGTAAATTTCAATTTCATTGATAAACATTTACGATAAAGTGTTTATCGAGACATGGGCAGTTAATGGACTTTAACTTAGGATTTTTTTGATTTTTGTTTTATATACTTTACTTTTGCACTTCAATGCACTAAATGTTACAATTTCATTACAAAAATATATATAGCCTATTTGTTATTAAATGTTTATGTGTGTATTAAATAGTAATTGTATTTGTAAGATTTTATAGAAAAATTGTGTGCAGCCTTTTGTTATTCGAGTGGCCGCACATTTACGAGTTACGATTAGAATCAAAATGCTAGAAGCATTTCACAGCAGGATACAGGATGCCAGGATGTAGGACAGGGAGGGAGATTTGGGTACATATTTGGGGCTTACATACTTTATACTTAAACGCATACAAAAACTAAATTCTACAACTTTTTGACCATCGTGCCGGGCATTCCAATCAACTTCATCAAACTTATAATTCTCATTAGCATTAAAACTTAAAAGCTAGTTTTTTTGTTTGTTTGTGGGCCAGGTAGCAAACAGCAGTTGAGCTCAGGATAGACAGCACCATGTGCTCTCCTCTATCCTAAACACGTTCTGCGCCAATGCCCGCTTAGATAACTAAATATCCTTATAACTAGCTGTACAGACACACACAGAAGCTACTCGCTGCATTCCAAATTCAGATCACAACAGCTAGTGGCATTGCTTGTTAGGACGGTGTCGACGTGCTATCCAGCAGCACCGACGCCAGCTCCTCATTGGACTCCACATACACCAGCGTGGGATCCTCACCAAATTCCAGCCGTCCATATCGCGCCACCAATGGAGATTTGCTGCTCACTTGCGGTGCTCGAGGCCACTTCCGTTTGGGTTTCGTGTGCGTCAACATATGGGACTTCAGATTTGTGGACTGGGCAAAACACTTAGAGCAACCATCAATGGGACAATGATATGGTCGATCTCCAGTGTGAATCCGCACATGCGTACGCAAATTGAAATCAAGCGAAAAGCGTTTGCCACAGCCCTCGAACGTGCATTCGAATGGCTTCTCTCCAGTATGCACCAGCTGGTGGCGCTTCAGCTTTGAGCTCTCCACAAAACTCTTGCCACAGACATTGCACACATGACCACGAGGTCCATGCGTATGCATATGCTTGCGCATGGCGGAGTGATTGCGAAATTCCTTATTACAGCCACGATGTGTGCACCGAAACTTGGGCTCCTCGTCCTCATCCGTTGGCGGCATCGCTGTCATTGCAGCTGCACGTTGATGCAATTGCTGTTGCTGTGCATTAGCACAGCCACTGCTACCGCTGCTGCTGCTGTTGTTACTGTTGCTGTTGTTTGCTGGCACCAGAGGTGGAGGTTGTGTGGTCAACTGACGTTTGGTCGCTTTATTGTTCATATTATTATTGTTCGCTTTCAGCCTCACATTTGTGCTGCTATTCTGCAGCACGAGCTTGGGCACTGTTTTTGTTGTTACTGCCACTGCTGCTGTAGCTGATGTTGTTGCAGGCGTTGTTACGGGCGCAGCCATTAGTTCAACAGGTTGTGGCATATTCTCAATTAATTCAATGCTCCCATAAGCCTCATCCAGTTGATATTGTTCGCTTAGCGATTGGCTGTCTTCCTCGTCCTCCTGCTCTTTAACATCATCCCCATCGGCCATAAATGCATTCACCACCTCTTCGACGTCGGTAACAGCGGCCGCACTAAACGGATCCGGCAATATGACATACTCATTGCCAATGCCATCGCTGAGCACATCGTGATGCATCATATGCTCATCAATGATTAGCTTTGGCATATCGTTAGTTCTGTTCGTTGTACTGCTGATTACTTGAGGTGCTGCTAATGTCTGCTGATCTACTACATGCTGCTCATCTAAATCCAATTCCTCCTCGTCCTCATCCTCTGAGTTAAGTGATGACCAGAGCGTCACATTAAACTGATCCTGTGTGATTCGTATAGGCACTTTCGTTTGCTTCCAACGCTTCGCAGTGCCATGACCGTTGCCATTGATGTTGTGGTTATTGTGGCTGCTGATTATGTTATTGCTATGACGTTGCGGTCTGCCAAATGGCTTAAAGTCCTGTACGTGACAGCTATTGGAATCATCTGTAGATTTCATATAGTAGTCATTCTCTAGCTGCTCCTCTTTGATAGTCGCTGCGGTTGATTCAATTGTTGTTAACATTTCTGAGGCTATTTCAAAGGCATTTGTATCACGTTGCGTGACCGGCGTTTCGTCCTCTTCGTCATCGGATGACATTCGCATCTCACCATCCATTTGTTGACCATCATCCTCATCATCACTCTCCTGCTCCTGTTGCTGCATAATTATTGGTGGCGGCAGTGCATCTGCTGTGGCCATGCCCATATCTATACGGTCTACTGAACAGTATTCGTAGACATCGCCAGAGACAAAAAATTCGCCAGCATCTACAACAATATTGGCATCTTCATCATAATCATCAATGATCTCTTCGATCAGAAAACTTTCGTTGTCTCCGGCGCTGCCTATATGCTCCGTGCCATCGAGTTCGGCACTGTACGGATGCTGATTCTCCACAATTGCCGTCGTCGGAGGCAGAACGTGTGTGAAATACAACGGTGATGTTGTGTTTGTATTGTGATTGTGCACTGAGGAGGAGGAGGCAGACATGGACATTGGCAGGGACAATGGCAACGGCAGCGACAGAGGCAGGGGCAGCGGCACGGCTGCTGCGGCCAGTGATAGATTTTTAACAATTGGCGGCGCTCTGGCTTGAAAATTGCCGCCTTGATGATGACTTGTCATCGTTTTGGCGTGTTTGTTTCGTTCACGTATGGCTCAATGTGTGTGTGTATGACTGCACGCTTATGTATGTGTTTGTGTGTACAAGTTGTTGTATATGTAGGCGCGCGCGCTCGTGTGTATATGCGTCTGTAGATTGGGCCCCACTGAAAATTGCCAATTAGAGAGCAAACCATTTTAGAATATCATTAAACATACCCGCTGGCCAATTTCGTTGCAAGTCGCTGAAGTTGTTTGCGTTGTTTGTCTTCTCTACTACTGTCCTATTGACATCGGTGCGTGGGGCGCTGCGTTGACGGCAGCAGCGGCAGTGGCAGACGTTGTCTGTCAAATTTGTCGCTTTTTGATCCGCTCGCGTTGTCACACGGCCTGTTTAATGCACAATCTTGTTTATGTGCCGCTAAATGTTTATTAGCAATGTAAATATTTTGAATTTTGCCGGTAAATATGGCGGAATTGTATTTTCCAAAATGGCTCAAGCACTTTCTCTTGCGTACAACTTTTGTTGGTGTTAGTGTTTGACAGCGGACCGATGACAACAAAATGCAGCCCTGAGCGCGCTTTATGTATACATATGTGTGTTCAATTAGCGTCCAGCCGGGGGCTGTGAACTGTAATAAAATAATATTCTGATTTTTTTATAACTCAACACAAAGACCTTTGACAATTATATAGCAGAGACAACAGTGCCGCGCTTTAATAATGTAGTTTACATTATTTATTATTACTAGTAATCGATAACGATAAGTACTCAAGCAGAGTTGCCTTCCTAACCGCCTACCAGACCGGCTATTCAATAAAAAAATGTCTATATACATTTACATACATTTAATAAAAAATAAATAATATACTTATAGTAAGAGAGATCTATATCCACAATTTTTTCAGCAGCAATACCTCGGGAAGATAAACACGCGACAATTTCTCATCAATAAATGTTTCCCGTTGCACTCTAATTGTCTCAACGTCGCTTTTAAAATCAGACTTTATAAAATGTAAAGCTTTGCGATCGGGAGTTTGAGCTATACTATAATGCCGACATTGTTCATTTAGCAGTTGAGGTTCTAGCAAAGTCAAATGCAACAAGTACGCGGCCGGCACTGTAAGCTGTTTGTTATTGTAGGCATGCGTAAAGATTTCCAACAGGAGTCTTCCAGAAATAAGCAAAAAAAAATTAATTAAAATATATATCAATTGTTAACTGCTAATTTACCGTCGTATTGTTTGCAGCTTTGCACCGGCTACCGCGCAAATGATATGCGGCAATTTTGGCAGGCCTTTCATTACACGATAAATATTTCCTTGATGATAATTCAGGCAGATGTTAAATGCCAGCTTAAAGTTTTCATTCTCTCGCACTTGAGCGGGCAGCATTAAGCCACGTACTAAAGCTTCGGGCGTGCCAAGATTGAAAATTTGATATAATGCCTCGATAAAATAACGTCGCTCTGCCTCTCGTATAGTTGGTTTCGTCTCGGACGTAGTCTGTCCTTCTTCATCCAGCTCGTCATAAGAGCAGAGCACTACATTTAGACATTCCTGCAAATGCTGATTGCAAATTTTAGGATCAAATTTATCAATCGGTTCCTCACACAGGCGATAGCGGCTGTAGGCCATAAACATGATCATTGGCTCTATAAGACGAATAGTCTGTCTAGCATTGTACTGCTGTATAACTATTTCCCGCCGCACACTTCGCAATCGATCGAATATAAAATCATAGACCAAATGGTAGGGTTTACGTTCATCAAGAAATATGCTTAAAAAAATATGTTTAATCAATTAACACATTATGTAAACTACACAGATTCTTACTCTTTGAGCAGATATTCAATAGTTTTCGTTAGACAATGCTCAGTGCGCATATCCTTGGCTTTCGGCACCTTAGCATCAGCAGCGGAACGTGTAAACTCCTTGACCAAAACGCCGGGTACGTGCTTTTGGCCATCTTTGTACTCGAAGAAGTTGAGCAATTTCTTTTGTGTGCGCCTTTAAACAGCAAATTATGTACAAAATTACTATTTTATTAATTACCTCTGCTTACATTTTAGCCTCTGCATCAGGACAGAAGCGTTCACAGGAACCGCGTATATATTCTGTATTTTCCATAATTTCAATTCAACAATTTGTTTACCCAATAAGCAGACCAAAACAAAAAACTAACTAGCTGGCATCGCCAGAGCTGTCAGACTCATAAAAATGTACACAAATGTATTATTTACAAATGTTTTTTTCTGTTTAGACCACTTTAGTTACCAACATGTCATGGTTATTTCGAGCTGTCAAGCAAATTTTTAGCCAAAATCGTGTTTCCCGTGATATATATGAAAATGTAAGAGAGATTACATCCAACGTTATCAATAGCAACAGGCAGTTTTACAGTGTGGCAACCCTGTTGCAATTCGCAGTTATTGTTGGAAGCATGGAACCAAAGAAACGAGCACGCACTGTTAGTAAGGAGAAGTATAAAACGACTCTGGATTCCAAGGCGCAATATTATTTAAATGCGCTCAAAGTGCGCTGGATGCAGTTGCATGATGTACCCGGCCTGTTTGCGTATCAGCTTCAGGAATCTAGACCGGGTCGCAGACTGCCAGGCAAATGTGGTTTCTATGCGGAGGTAAGTGTCAAAAGAATCTTAACTGTATTTTGCTTTAAATCATTGCGTTGTTTTCAGTTAAATGCGGATCGCAGCCTAAAAAGGCGCGTTCCACAAGTTATTGACAGCCTAAATCCAACTTTTCGGCCCAAGCAATTTAATTTTAATAAAGTGGATGCTATGGAGGTAATGATGACCATAGATGAGGAGAGAGACAACGTCGAGGTGCAGATGATTATCAACAAGAGCCCCATTACCAAATATCATACTCTCATCTGTCCAGATGTGAAAAAAGAACTGGTTCAGCGTATCACCTTTTCGTCACTCAATTTTTGCACTACGTTTATGCGGAGTATTAATGATCCAAACATACGTCTGGGCTACAATAGTCCAGGTGCTTTGGCTTCAGTAAACCATCTTCATTTCCATTTGTTGCACATACCTCGAACCCTATATATCGACAATGTGGAGCTGGAGCCACTGGCAGGGAATTATGTTTATCGCTTAAAAAACAGTGAATCCACAGAAGCCATTTGTTTTGTTATTGGCGTAAAGGACACTGAGGAAGATATTAGGGATAAGGTTCAACAAATTCATCGACTAACCGAATGGCTATGCAACAATAAGTTACCACACAATCTATTCATGACGCAAGATCGGCAAACAAATGATTTACGTGTATTCCTCTTTGTGCGATCAACGTATTGTGTAAGCAAGGATGCCAGCGTATTCAACGTGGGCTTCTGCGAGTTGGTTGGCTTTTTTCCCTTGAGTGGTAAGTAAATCGAACTTTGTATAACGATAAAATATAAATGTATATATAATTGCAGATGAGGCGAAGCTACAGAATCTGACAGAGCCAATAGTAATCGAAAGAATCAAAGATATAACTGGCAATGCTTACGAATCCGCGTATAGGCAGACCAAACGTATTGTCGATGGCAGCAGAAGCACCTTGTGGCCTTTTTTGGTATAGAAATATTGCAAGTTTATAAGTAGGAAACGTTTTATATTAAGCTTTTAGTCATATAACTTAGTTGGCTGCTGTGATAAAACCCTTTCCCATTGCCGCCTTGCCCACAGTTTTGTTATTGGGTTCAATGCAATAATTTATATCCGTTGACATATTTTGATGTCTCACATAATCCAGCAGAGCTGGCAGTTGATCCGCTGATATGCTGTCGCGTATTACATCGAAGAAGCCCATGTAGTGGTGCAAATTGTGGCTGTTTCATCAAATAAAAATATGTCATAAGAAGATCTAATGTAATTCATTAGCTCATACTTACATCATTAATAGAATGGGACCCAGCAGCTCATTCGTTTTGTATAAATGATGAATGTAGGCACGCGTGTGCTTCTGGCAGGCCAAGCAATTGCAGCCTTCTAGCAGCGGCGTAAACTGCTCCTTAATCGCCTCATCTGTAACATCTAGAAATGCAGAATGTTCCTCCTTATCAATACAGTAACTAAAAGTAAGCGCCTTGTAATTAACTGCTGCACAGTAAGCGTAAGAAGTATCGAATATATCCACGCCTAGGCGTATTAGCTCCAGCATTAGCACAGGTGTAAAAGCACCTGGCATTAAGCGTGGTAGCTCGTCCTCAATTTGCTGTACACAATGATCCACAATGGGCAGCAATTGTGATGGATTTAGGCTTGTGGCAGCAATGCCATTTGTATGGAAACCCTCAAATATGTAACCACCATAGGTTCCTTTTGGCTGTTCTCGTGCATGCTTAATAGACTGCGTGCGGGCAAATGTGTTGTAACCGCCCACAATGGGCGCTAGAAGGGTCGAATCTTTTAATCTCTCTAGCTCCCTATGCTGCTTGAAGCAGTGCTGCATGAAGCGTTCGGTGCGATCCACAGATTTTTGAACTCGTTTCTTAGTACTCTCTGGATTGGTGTCCGCATCGCATAAGCCTTGATATACATCTGGCGCGAAGCTGGTCACCAGCTGCATATAACGTTCCGCTGTTAAAGATTCCTTGCCCCGTCGGGTGAAAAGTGGTACTACGTCCCTATCATTGCCACCTGATGGTGTTACTTCGCACGGATCACGCAACAGCAGCAGAGTATTGTAGTCCGGGTAGCCCACATAGTCGCCCAGGCTGCGATTCCACTGATCCAAAGACTCGGCCATTTGATCCATGGTGCATAGTGTGAGCTGCAATACTTGTTGCTCCCGACTGACCAAGCCAAATACATCGGCACTTAAGTAGGGAATGCTTCCGCCTTTTGTTGTTTGCAGCAGTAGCGGCGTCTGCAACTCCGAGCTCTCCTTAATCCGCAGGTGGCCAAGGCGTCCAGAGTTTTTACTAATACTTTTTATAATAAACTTCATGGCGCTTATTATTTACTTATTGTAGTTTGTGCACGTTTTGCGCCTATAAATGATAAGAAAAGTAATCGATGACTATCGATAGTACATCAGCTGTTTTAAAGTTAAAAACCATTATTTAAATTATTTTAAATTAAATTATTTGTCAGTTCATCGTTTATATCATTACTTTTGTTAACAATTATCAAAAGTATTAAACAACGAAACACTGCTCCTTTTCAATTAACGTAGGACTGTAACTGTTACTTGTCGCAGCATTTACCCACTGGCTTGTAACAGTTTATGTTATTTTGGCGCATTTTGTTAAACTACATTTCTGTTTTGCCATCCGTTCTATGCTTCACGACAACAACAATAAATGTTATTCAAACAGTAAACTAACTGGGGGCACGTAAGGCTGATGTTTTTGTTGTATGCGCAGCGCACTTGAGTATTGTTGTCATTGTTTTTGTTGCCGTACCGTTCTAGTTATTCAATTGCTCGCTCGCACTTGTTGGTGCGACTTTTCCCCAATTGTGTTTGTTTGTTCCGTTCGCATTCGTTCATTGATTTCCTAATTAAGTTTATAATTAAAATTAATTGAAAAATTACCCACAGACATATGCGACGTGTGTTGTAATATCAAAAATAAAATAAAGTGTCTGTGTGCCTATTAAAGTGGAATGAAAGCACGTTAAAAATTTAAATACGAAATTGTGCCAAAAAAGAAACATGACCAACAGCAGCAGCAGCCAAAAAGGTAATTATAAGCCAAAGTGTACGTTTATTTTCTTTTTTTCTTGCCTAATTGATGACTTCCCTACCGCGCTCTATTTATAATTAAAACCGTCTGCAATAGCAATTATATTTATTGAACAAAAGGCGAATGTGCCTGTATACAAAATGTATCTATAATATATTGTATATATATATATATATAAATATATATATATATTTATATTTATATGGATGTATATGCATAAAACAACTATAAAAATTCTTTGCACAAAATTTTAAATGGCCATAAATTTTTGCTAAAAGTCGCGCTGCGGCTTAAGTCTGTGGGTGAGAGGGAGAGGACGCGAGAGGAGGGATGTGTGTGGGTGCTTATCCTATTTAGTGACTCTGCCAGGGTTGTCAACATGCGCAAATTGCAACCATGCTTTATGCTGTTGTTGTTCTGGCCTTGGGTGTCTCTTTACCTGCTACCTGCTCCGCTGCTCTCGCTTGCAAACCATTTATTTTTAATGTGAAGGAACTAGCCTGCAGCGTTTAACGAAAACGTCGTAAAGAAAAATGCTAAAAACAGGGAAAACTAATAAAACGATTTATTTTTTTCTGCTTTCCAGGTGGTCCCGCTAAATGTTTCAGTGTGTGGCAACTCTAGGCAAATGAACTGTTTTACCTGCACACATACTAGCGCACGTAGTCAACACAACGGATAATTTAGTGGAATTTTCGAAAATAGCAAAGGAAAGGCAACCATAATCCTCAAGAGCAGCAGCCACAGAGGCAGCGCCAACAACAACAACAATGCAGGCAGGCATAATAATCAAAGATTAAATCAGGTTTATATGGAAGGGTTAAAAAGAGCAAAAGCAGCCTGTCACAGGAAGAAATACACGTTTCCTAGTCGCTGAGGCACGTCTACAACAACAGCAGCAACAACAACAAAACAGCAACAACTACAACGAACAACTGATTTTGATTACAAATACAAGGAGCGCGCGCTACACACACATATTCAAGCACACGTACACATGCATGCATGAATTGAGCGCGCTGAAAGAGCGAGTGAGAGCGAACATGTCTGCGAGCTGGTGAGAGAGAACATGCGGAGATTAACTAGCGCGCTCAGTTTTCCGCTCAGTTCTCATTCGAGTGCGGTACGGTTACGTCGCATTGCTCCCACAAGGCAGCGGTGAAAATACAACAGAAGATTTTCCGTTGTCCGTTTTCCGCTAGGCGACGGCATAACACAACGTATGGGCGGCATTTGTTTTGAAAGTAAAGTAAGAGGAAAACGAAATATAAACCAAAACGTCGCGACCGCACCTCGCTAACTTATGTTTGTGATTGTACGTGAATGTGTGTGTACATATATGTTTTGAAACGAATATATCACGAAAAAGGAAGCATAATCAAGTGAAAATAGTGCAAAAATATAAAGTAAAAAGAAAATAAAAAGAATTATTATAATAAGATAGCCAAAAGACGGGCCAGAGACCAGTTTGAAATCGCCGCCTATTTGCAGGGCAACACACGCGCCGCAGCCGCCGCTAGCAGAAGCAGTGCATATGCTATGTGTTTGTGTGTGAGCAAAAGAGCTGGCGATAGTTTTGAGTGTGGAGCAGGGGCAACGGCAGTGGCAGGCAATTGAACGTACACACACACATGTGCACATGCTAGCCAAGACAGTGCTACAGCAACTACAACAACAACAAGAAGCGACCACATACGGTGAAAAGGCCGCGTCGCCGTCTCAAGGAGCGAAAGGCAGTGAGAGAGGCAGAGACAGAAGCAGAGGCAGCAGCAGCAGCAGCAGCAGCAGCGGAGCGAGCTATAAGAATAATAAATTACACTTTGCTTTTGCTATAATAAGAAGAAAAATTTATATACACATACAAGCACACACACACATGTGCAAGTAATGTTTTTCTTGTGAGTGTGTGTGTGGGGGGAAATTGTAATAAAATATGAACGAAAGAAAAACGCTGGAAATGGAAAACTAAAAGTAAATTTCGAAACATCAGCAAGCAGCAGCAGCAGCAGTGGCCGCGGCAGCGCAGATATGCAGCTGTATGTGTGCGTGTGTGTGTAAATTATTAACAGTTAGGCTGCGCAAATAAAAAGCAAACGAAAGAGAAAAAGAAATTAAGCAGCAGCAAATAAAAGTGAACAACATTCAATGTGCCATCATTTTCAACAACAGCAACTACTACTACTATAATTAAGCAAAAGGAGCAGCTTTAAACAAAATATAATAAATAAATAAATACATATATACACATATATTTATAAGCGTTATTATATATACAGTATTAGCAACAACAACTGAGAGAAAAAAAGAATATTAAACATGTCCTGCATATCGAGCAATTTTAGCTCATTCTTTCTGAACTCCTTGAACGATCCTTCAGAGTTTTCCAAGTACTTGAGCAATGGCGAGCTGAAATGCACAAATTTCGAGGAATTTCAAGTGTTTGCTCAGTCAACGCAACAACAGCAGCAGCAGCAGCTACAACAACAACAACAACCACAATCACAGTATTCATGCACAAATGGCGTCGGCAGTGCAGAGCTTGGCTTCGAGTCGGCTGCGACGTTGCAGTTGCAGTCGGCGCAGCGTGAAGCTGCGGAAACGCCGGCAGTGTTAAGCACACCGTTGCCCAGCAATCGCTGGCCGACAGCGGTGGCAACGCCAAACGGACACGTGCCCGCCTCTGCCGCCGCCGCTGCCGCTGCTGCCAACGCTCAACATTTCGATGGTTCCTTTGAGTTTATCAAATATCTGCGTCACTCCACGGATTTTACGCCCAGCAGCGGCAACAGCAACGCCAGTGGCAGCAATAGCGGCGTTGGCGTCAGCGTCAGCAGCGACTCTGTCGATGGCGCAGCATTAGCAGCTCCTGCGGAGAAAAGCAGCAAATTGATTGTAGCGGGCAGGATTACAACACCGCCGCCAGGTGGCGCCACCACTGGTGGTGGTGGTTGCAGTGTGGGTTTATTGGATCTGGACTCGACGAACACCACACAAAAATCGCGTTCGGCCTCACGTAAAGTCGCCGCACTGCTGTCTTCCGTTTCGCGCTCTTCCAACAGCTTGGACGCCAGGACCTCCGCGCTAGACGCCGTCTTCGATCACGACTCGAAGCAAACGATCTTTGAGCTGCAGCATTTGACGAGCACGTCGAACGGCTCGAATGGCTCTAATTCGAATGAGTCGTCCTCGTTGGAGTTACTCGCCTTTCCCAGCTCCCATCTTAATGCCTCCAATTCAAATACCTCCTCGGAGGAGCATTGCGGCAGTGCAGCAGAATTTGGTGGATTGTTGGGTGGCTCAGGCTGTTCTGCTGCGTCGGGAGCTGGCGGTGCGCCTAAGCTATTGGGCAGCTTTGTGATCAAGGAGAACTTCGATGTGCATCCCTCGCACAAGGTGGAGGAGGGCATATTTCAGCACATGAACAAGCTGCCCTCGAAGAAGAAGGATACACTCAAGCAGTTGGGCGTACGGTTCACGGGCCAAATGACGTTGACGGATAAATCGATTGTGGTCGACAATTTCATCAAATTTTGCGAGGTGAGTTTGTAAAATAATAGGTTATCTGTGATATAGACTATAGACAATACTCTGTAAACAGCAAAAGGACAACAACTGTTTCTTTAATATAATTTTATAGATAGATAGCATAATTCAACGAATCCAACAATATGAAAATCATTTTTCAATTTCAATTAATGTTCAACATTCTCCCTATCATTATAACACATATGCCACATGCATGTATGAATAGAATTTGATTTTCGCCAACATATAGAGAAGTTACATATATTTCTGACACTTATACAAATATATATACTTACAAACAAGTATATATAGTATATATACATATATATGTATTTATATATGTATATATTCATAACGCGGATACACCGTTCATATCCTTTACACAAGCGCATTTCTCACTCTATTATATGCCGCCCACATATATATATCAAACCCATACTCTCACACTCACACTCATGCATACTCACCCAACGAATGTCATTATAAATTGTAATAACAGCAGCAGAGACGCCAGCGTCGACTGAGCGGGGCCAACCACAAATTCAGCATACAAATACAACTGTAATCATGTGTGGCACCAATGTGTGCCTGTGTATTCTAAACACCTACATACAGTCAAACATAAGTATGTACATTTGTATGTAAGCATACACGCAGACACATACAGACAACTCACTCCCCCCAAAACATTTGGCGCCTTTTCAACACTATGCTAGGCAACCCTCCCAACTCTCACACACTGACACATGCTCATTACGCTCAGCTTTATCGGAACGCACACACACACGCTCACTAACACACATACACAATCAACTAGATTTGGTCGAAGCAGCACCCGCACAACCCACACACTCAAACTATATACAAAACGGCATTGATGGCATAATACAGGAATAGCAACAACAAGAGCAACAAGAACAAGAGCAAGTACAACAACATGAGCAGTAGCTAGAGCCTAACCTTATTTCAACATGGCTGCTTTCTCGGCCCTTCGGCCGCTATTACAACATTTTAGTTTTAAGATGCCTAGCTTTGATGTTGTCGTTCTGCTCTCCCTTCCAGTTTAACTCAAAATTGTTGCGCTCTCTCTCTCACTCTCGCAAGCAGTCACTCCTTTGGTAGTAAGAACTTTACTTGCAGGGAGCAGCGGCAGAGGCAACGGCAGTGGCAGTGGCAGCGGTTGCTGCTGCTCAAACTACAAAGTTTTGTATATGTTTGTGGGTATAGTTATGTGTGGGTAAGTGGGTCTGGCAACCCCCAAAAAGCTCAAACGGGCGCTATTGAGTAATTGTATATGCGCCCCTCTCTTTCTCTCTCTCTTACACATACATACACATACTCGCACACATTCTCTCTTATGCTACATACATACAATCATCAAGTTACTTGGGGCGTTTGTTGGACTGTCCATTGAGCTGCCTTCGTATGTCCTTTCGTGTGCTTGTATGTATGTGTGCATGTTTGTATACATATATACATATATGTATATTTTAGGTGTGCGGTACCCTAGCGGCGTCGTTGAAGGCTACTAAATGCGCATGCAGTAGCAGCGCAGTCACCAATACACATATGCAATAAGTTTGCCAATCTGTGTGTCTGTATGTATACATATATATACAAATGTTTGGGTGTGTAAGGGACAGCTTCATTGCGGAAGAGAGCGGGTCGTATAGGGGTCCGCAGGACGTTGGGTGTTGGGCGTTTGGCTAGGGCAGGTACAATGTCTCGGGTTCGCACAATTTACGCGCTCACACAGAAACAAGAACTGAAACACATGTACATTGATTATAATTTTAAATTATATACGCATACATACGGACATAAATTACAATGTAAATACATATTTATATACGTATAACTGTACTTGCCAAACTTATATGATGACTATATATGTATATATATGTATACACTGTCAACACACACACACACACACATATACACATACAGATGGATATAAAATATTTAGGTTTATGCGTCGTTTTTGCCGCCTTTGGGGCCGCATTAAATTAGTGTTGTATAACGAGGCAACTACAAGGGGTTACACGGAAGGGTATGAGTTATGCAGATTGTTGCCAAAATTGTAAAATATATGGATAAACATATATGAATTATAGTTTTAGCATTAGCATTGGGCTGACTGGCAAAATACGAGGTTATGTTCGGCTACTCATCTATTGCCAATGTAAATTAAAGCTTCACACAAGTTCACCCACAAATAGCGAGGCAAACGACTATTTGGGCAATAATTAATGATCCATTTCCAACCCTTTTTTCACACGTGCGTCGTCAAATTGTTGTTAAAAACCTGTTAAACGCAAAGAGTGAAAGTGTGAAAATTGTTGCCTCCCCGCACACACACATACACACGCACACCCAAACACGCTGGGGCGCACACGCAACCCTCAAAAATCAAAAAATCATTGCCGGGCGACGGCAGCACGAACAACTGTTGTTGCACGCACAAGCAGGAAAACAGAAACAAAAAGAAAAACAATTCACACTTGTCTCAATAAAAACAACAACAAGCTGCATCACACCACACACGCATAGAACTCACACACACCACAGACAACAACCGCAAGCCGCCACACATAAACACGCAGGCACCCACACACACGCAGTCAGAGAGCAGGGCAGGATACGTCAAGCACAGGCACGCACAAACACAAACACAAACCCGGTCTGCGTGCTGTCAATAAGTTGCAAAAAAAAAAGAAGAAAAAAAAACAACAGTCAAAACAATAAAAGGAAAAGCAAGAGCACAATGCCGCAACACATTGCCATTGCTGCCTTCATTCTTTCTACTTGCTTCTCTGTTTTTACTTTTTTTTTAAACAGTTAAGCGGCTATGGGAATGTAAACACACAAAACGCTACCCCTCCCGCTCCCACTCACCCGCAGCAGCCAAAACAATCAAGCGGAGACAGCAGCAGCAGCAACAACACTTGGCTTGACAGCCAAGCTTGGCTCTCTCTCACCTATATTACTCTCCCATTTTTGTGGTCTTTCTTCCTTTTTCTTTCTCTCTTGCACGCATGCTGCTGTTAATGAGTCGTCAGCGTCACGCTGCCCTCTTCACGGCCAACACCTCTGAAGGGGCCTGTCATCATTCTAAAGGCGTTGAATTGGTTTCTCGTGCTCTGTTTCGCTCTCTCTCTTTCTCTTTCACTCATAATTTGACATACACATACACACACACAATCATAAAGTCAAGCTTTAAGTATTTTGGTAAATTTGACTTGTTCTACTCCAGCCTCTCCTCTTTTTGCTG